TACGTAATGAAGGACCTAAGGAACTTTCCTAGGGTACTCCGGATCATAAATAATACTAAAGCAGGATGGAATATACAACTGTGTATTGTCTGCATCAAAGTGATGTTTGCAAAATTGCAAAAAATCAGTGAAATCAAAAGGATGAAGGGTACATAATGAAGGACCTAGGATACTTTCCTGAGGTACTCCAGATTTCACTTGCCATGGTGGGGATGCCAATTTCAACAAATTGTGGCTTCTTATTGAGATATGAAAAAAGCATGATTGTGAATGCTTCACCAAACCTTAGAAAATGTACCAGCATTCAAATCCGTACGATGCATCACGTCAAATGCTTTGGAATTATCTAACAAAGTCAAATCAACAAAAAAGCCGATGATGAACTATGTTCAATTATTCTGTGTGGATTTTTGGAATCACTAATAAATTGCAGTTTGAAATAAAAATAGAACTTTGCATCTAGAAAAATAATGAAAAGTTGTTCTTTCAGGGACACTTGTAGGTTATTTATATTGATCAATGCATATAATATATGCAATTCCACATTATTAATCATGAGTCATCAGTCATTCTCATTGGATGATATACACCTATGCTCAATACCAATGTTTGGACAGAAATTGTTGATAACCAAATCATTGGGAGTTATAGTGATCTCAATCTGGTTTTTCTGAGAAAACTACATTTATTAAGTGAATTGACAGAAACAGTACAATAGAGTGGCCAGCTTGTTCTTCCGATTAGACTCCACTTGATAATGGTCAAGGTTTAATTACCAGGAGATTGAATGAATCGTTAATTGTTGCAATGTTTTTATACTTTTTTCAATATGTATCTAATTTGCCTGATGGTTGTCAAAATAGTAACATTATCAACACGAAGAAATTACTTTTCGAGCCCTGATGAAGACTTTAATTGAATTCGAAACTTTGGCAAGACAATTGCTTTTCTAAGATAATTTGATCCTGTTANTTCTCTTGAGGATGCTAACTTTGTTGGCGAAACGCGCGTCGAAACAGTAATATTCATTGTTATAATAGTAAATGAGTATGTTAATAGTTATTTTCTTATACTCACTGTATGATTTTCGGGAGGGGAGGAAGATAGCCTTTGGCTAACCCTTTTCCTTTTCCCCATTTATTTTTATGTATGAATGTATTTTTATGCATAATAAAAGATATTATTATTATTATTATTGAAATGAGTTCATCAAATCTCTTTGATCCTCAGTTCAAACAAATTCAGATATTTCTATCTTGAAAATAATCAATCAACATAACTAATGAATACAATAGTTTTTTTTTTTCTGAGATTCAATCTGACCAGCAATAGACAACAAAAAATCTTACATGGCAAAATCTCTTCACACCATCGCGAACGAACTTTTTTCAGTCAATCACCGAGAAAAAAAAACGCGACCTACAGATCCCGAGCGTGTGTTTTCGCACGTGATTCAACTTACTCGATGCCAGAAACTTCAGCAGAAAAGCTTTGCGTGAGCGACTGTCTGTTGAAACTTCCAAAGGCATCGGATCTTTGGGGATAGGCATATGTGGCGCATGCTCCGGCTTCAGGTGGTTGGAAAACGCTTCATCCCTCATCGTTCTCAGGAGAAAATTACTGGTTTCGAATTTGAGGCAGCCGCACTAATTGTTGTGCGGCTATCGGAGGAAATAATTGAAATATTTGACTCAGTGTCAATGAGTGTATTTGTAAAAGTAAGGGAGGTTGAGTTTTTAAGAGATACTGAGCTATTGTAGGTATGAAACCGGTTGAATCTGAAGGAAATTACAAACTCAGGGGAATTTACTATCTGTGGAAATGCATAAAATGTATCACGTTCGCTTCTACAGAGAAAAACGTTGATTTTATTTCTTGTTTCTGGTTCTGTTATGTTAAAAAACATATGCTATGCTAAATGCTATGGAGTTTTCATTTCAGCTACATCATCTGGTTGTCGAAGACACATACAGTGCATTTCTTCAATGCCCCTCCTCTTTTATTTTTTGAACAAGTCAACTCAAAAAACTGAAATTTGGGATTATGAAATTAATGCATAAATGAATACTTTATTTTGGAGTGAAATTGACAAGGTGTACGTAATGAAGGACCTNAATAACAATATCAGCGATGGACATTCCCATTCACTTCTACAGTTGACTTTTGAGAAAAAGCTCTAACCTCTCCACAAACCCCCAAAGCTAGACATTAGTTTTAGAAAGCTTTCATTACACGAATGATGGAACAGTTCAATTTCGAAAAATCTGATGTTTCCTGAAACTATTTTTCCTTGAATATTATACAGTGGAGCATTTCATCAAAGGCCATTAAACTAAACCCAAATATCTACAAAACATTCATAATTCTGAATTATATTGAATATTACGTTTATTCCATTTTCAGACCCCTGTAGCAATTCAGTCAGACTCTCATATACCAACTGATTTTGGGAAGTTCATCATCAGGATAATTTCGGGATTTCCTCCACTACAAAACATTCAATAAGGATTGGAATGCACCTATTAGCTTGATGACCATTAAGCTTCTTATTCTAAATAAATAAACTAGAACTGATTAACAAAACATGTATTATCGTTCAAAATGAGTTGGGTTCTATGAACTCCTGATGAGTTTCAGTTGTCTATGATTAGAGCGAATGATAGCCATTGGTCGGATTGGTAATAATCTGCTCATGGAATAATAATCAGTCATCTAGATTCGGAAAGAAAAACTTTGAAACGCGGTTCGGCTGGACCAAGTTTTGCGCCATATTGGAGAACGCAGGATTCTCGAATTAATTTAGCTTTGTGAGTAATGAGTACGAAATATTAGGTTGCAAGTTTAAATATGTATCCTTCTACATTCAAATTCATTCACGATATCAAGAAATTATTAAAGAAAATAGTGACGGGTGAAATATTGATTGATATGTTAGTTAATTTGGTAGTTTTTGTGAAAAATTGCGTTGAAATATAATATTGAAGTCTATTCAAATGCGTTCGATAATATTTTCACCAGAACAATAATTGATGATGTGAATGATGATGTTAACCTTCATAAAGAAAAGCAACTGACATGAGTAATATCATTTTTGTAAAACGACGAAATATTCCAAGTATTTCACCTTCTCTTAATTTATTAAATTTCCAATCAGATTTAATGTGGGATCCAGACGTCTGGTAATGCAATTGAAATCTTTGGATTCTTTTCTCATAACCATCACATCCATTTCAAGTGGAAATCCAGACGGTATAAACTCAATTTGAATAATTGAAGTGATAGCCACGTCCCAAGTCTTCGTTATGTATACTCCAATAATTCTATTACTATTCACGTGATGTTCAGGTATGCGGAGACTCTATTACAGAATCTGCTTGTCAGATCTGTCATCCACAAGTGAATAGCAATCTTTCACCTCCACAGCAGGAAGGTTGGTTTATTTATTACACACTATATTAGTTACAAATCACTCTCGTTTGTATCGAAAACATCGATTATGTCATTTACATATGGATATAAATTCTTTGGGATCTTTTCTTCAGTCCAAATCCACAACAGATTTCACCCTTCAGGAATCCACACCAAGAAATCAAGTGGCAACAGATCTGATGGCTACAGAGACCGTTTGGAGCTGCCTTTTCTCTAGTTGAACTGAATCAAGAATATCATCAAGGTCATTCGATGTTTCAACAGGACGGTGCATTATGCTTCAAATCTTCGTCTGCATTTCTGGATTGGAGGAACAGGTGACATAAGTGGCTTCCAAAGTTACCAGGTTCTTCATTTCTTCAAAACTCAGGTGGTTAAGTTAGTTCCAAAGTGAGTAGGTGTATTAGACGCTCCACCACAACCGTCTGCATTGAATTGATTTGTGTAATTGGCAATGTGTACAAGGCTATATGCAGTCCATCTAGTCTCTCTCCAGAAAAATGTCGAAAGAAGGTAGATCTAGAAGGATCTTCATGGCCGCTGACGGTGTAGTACTGATGACACCACTGAATGCCAGACAAGCCTGTCTCTGTAGGCCAGAGCGCTTCACCTGGGCCGTTTTCTGTGAAGATTTCGGCCATTAGGCAATTGCACCATAAGTGATCATTGGCCTGACAATCATCACATAAACCCAATGAATTTATTTTCGACCTAAACCCCAAGTTTTACCACATATCCTTCGGCATGTCCATAGGGACAGTCTGGCTTTGTATAAAACTTTTTTCAAGTGAGCGTTCCAAGTGAGTCTTTATTCAAGGACAAGCCAAGATATTCCACCTCCGTTCCAAATGGAATGACCTCACCATTGAGGTAAAGTGGCGTTAGATCTTCCAATGTTCTTCTCCTGGTGAAGGGAATTGATTGCTGGGATTGACAGACATCTGCTCCCTCAAGCAACAACTGTGAACAACTTTTGAAGGATATTACAAGCTACCCTTTCCGATGTGGACCTTGCCAAGATGACAAGGTCATCTGCATAAGCTTGCAGATCTACTTTTCTTCTGTAGAGGGCATCAAGCAGACTATTCATCAGGAGCGACCACAGAAGAAGAGATAGTACCCCACCTTGAGAGTAGCCCCTGGTGACCCAGAACCTAATGTCCTCGGCTTGAAGAGTCGTAGTTGCAGTTCTGTTCACCAGCATGGCATAGATCCAGTATATACCTTTTCTAGGTGATCCAATAACTTCAAAACTCACTCGAGAAGTGAACAATCAGAGTTGTTTGAAGAATCACTCAGTGCTTGGACACTGTCTNTTCAGGTCAATTTTCGATAATGAAATAAAGCTTGGATTAGTTGAAACTGCACATGTGACGAGTTCTGTTCATCGTATTCACTATCAGTAGTGCTGAATGTATCTTTGTAACTTGACGATACTTTTTCATTAGACTTTTCAAGAGAATTGTTTTGTGCTCCTCGGTAGAAACATCTTTTTAGCCATAAAAACAAAAACTTTCTACATTATTTCGTTTATTTCACAGCAAGTGATGCGGGAAAAAGAAAAAAAATCATCTGCTTTTCCAATTTATTACAAACTTCTCCAAAACTGTTACGTCTACGCGACATTTTCTCACGAGAAAAGCGAACAGTCGCCAAGCAAACACCATTAACAGAAAAATAAATCAAACATAGATACAAGCACCCCCTCTGGGTGAAGTAGCAAACACAACGGATTCGAAGCCGTCGAAAACTCCGAGTGGTTTGTAAAACTGCTCTTTGAGAAAGTCAACATACTCCCCCACTTTCTCTGGCGACAAAAGGGACACCGTGCAGCCGCCCCACCCCGCCCCCGTTAATCTCGTGCCCAGCGTGTAACCTCCAGATATTTCGACTAACCTGTCTAGCTGGGGGTGGCTACATTCGTAGAGGTCTCGTAGGCTCTCATGGCTTTCGTTCATAAGTTGGCCTAGAATGTCCAAAGTTTCGGTCCCGGGAGGCCCGGAACATGCTTCGACGAACTTTTCCACTCTGAGTGCCTCTGAAAGAGAAAACGATCGTTTGATGATGGGGAAGTGACAATGAATGCGAATGGGAGTGATGGAGATTTACTGGGAAATTAGAAGAAAATCGTATAGTATCTGTTCTTTATGAAAAATCTGTTTCGTCATTGGATGAAGCGAAACAATTTTTGAAGAAGAAGGAATAAATGAAAGCGTGAACGAATACTATGAAAAAATGAATCGAAATCGACCCAGAGTATGGGCGTTGAAATGGTGTAATATTGAGGGGGGAAAATTGTTTCCTACGATTTCAACCGATGGGTACAATAGGAATTTTTATTCCAGTCAGGTCATATTTACATGATACTAGTACTTTGTTGCTGTATCGCTGCTGTTCCAATGTTTTAACAGAATCAGAATCAACGAACTTAGGCGTGTGCAGCGTTATGGAACAGTGCTTTTAAAAAATTGTTCTACAGCGCCATCTAGTGGCGAGTTATAGATAAATTGATGGCCTAGAAACCTTCTCTATGAAAAATTACTTATACATGTTACGTTTCATCACGATCGGTTGATCGGTAGAAGTTTATCACTTACCAACCAACTAACCAACCAACAAACATCCATTTTTATATATTAGATTGGAAGAGTCACAGGCATAGATCAGATGAAATGACAATATTGAAAGTTTTGAAGATTATAATAATAACCAGAGCATCCGAGTGTCATAACTCTAATTATCATTCTGCTCATGAATTCTGATATGTCATAGTAACATTCGTTAAATAGAAAGTTTTCAAGTTTTCTTTTGAAAGCATTGACGTTGTCTTCCAATCTCACACAGGCTGGCAGATGATTTAGAAATTGAATTTCCCTATATATTGGGCTTCTCTCATACAGAGTAGTTCCATGTTTAGGAGGCCTGATAAGTTTCCAGGGTCTGTTTTAGCAGAATTTACCGTCAGAGTATTTCTGTCACACCACTTGGTGAATTCCTTTGCCAGTATATTCATCATCTCACAAACTACACTTAAACGATTTGATCTCTTTCTCAAGTGATTGATTAATCAAATTATCCTTACATTCATATTTATGAACTACAGGTAACCATAATTGCGACTACCTGTAAGAAATTACCTGAACCTCTACATCTCGTACCTGCTCAATTATGATTACCTAAAGCATATTGCCTCACATCTACATCAATAATAATTCTCAGATGGATCAAAAATACCTTCCAATTCTGGTGCAGGTGTTTTCAGTCGCAGACCCAGGACAGAGATATCTACCTGCCTAGGAACTTATGCGACTGTATTTCAAGCGGTAATTTACGCCATTCAACCTAATTCGCCTAATTCAACCTAACACGCAAGCCAATAAAAATATTCCCGGACAGTTAAGCGGCGTTGGGAGCTCTTGGCTCCTACCGAGCAACGTCTGAATTGGTAGCAAATTGCCAAAAACGACTCTCCTCGATAGGAAAACTCAACAGATTGTCTTTGGTCTGGTGATCTGTTTGAATCTGTTTAAAATCTGTTTTTCCGTTAATCAGCTGTCGCCCCCATACGAACTACAACTCTCAGAAGTTGATAAACTTGTGCGAGCTAAGGACTAACGAGGTCTTACCTTTTAACGTGTGATTCCTAACACGATAATGAAGCTACTGACTCCCTTGCAAAGGAGGGTGTGAAGTTTATAATAATAACCTGGGCATCCGAGTGTCAATCTCACTTTATCTTTTTGCTCATGAATTCTGATATGTCATAGTAACATTCGTTAAATATAAAGTTTTCAAGTTTCCTTTTGAAAGCATTGACGTTGTCTTTCAGTCTTACACAGGCAGGCAGATGATTTAGAAATTGAATTTCTCTGTATATTGGGCTTCTCTCATACAGAGTAGTTCCATGTTTAGGAGGCCTAATGAGTTTCGAGGGTCTGTTTTAGCAGAATTTACCGTCAGAGTATTTCTGTCACACCACTTGGTGAATTCCTTTGCCAGTATATTCATCATCATTCATCATATGCTCTTCAGACGTTTCTACTTCCGTTGCTAAAGTGGTATCATCAGCATATAGAATTAGGTGTCTAATCTATTTTTTTTTGCTTCGCTGTATATACTGTTTGCACTGTTCATGATAACAAACTTTTTTTTTCTTTCCTTCTCACGGTTGGATGGAAGAGCAATCTCTGCAATGATTTATGCGTAGATATTGAACCCTGCCATTTCATTGGTTGTAATTTCATGAAACCATCAATGAAACCAATCATTATTATTATTGTGAAAATTCTGTAATTACTATCATGGATAAAGTATTTTTCGCAACTCAAAGAAACCGCAGTTTCCACGAGTTCCGTCGTGAACTCGTATAACACAATGATAATCTAATCTCGAGCAAAAGCGACTATAATTTTCATGCGAAAGCCGGAGATGGGTTAGTTTTATTGAATTGCTCTGGGTAGTCTATCAAGACCCTCGCCCGCAGACATCGTCTTAGTTTTCAGATAGAAAGTAGATCCAGGATCTGAAGTGTAAATATTTCAGCAAGCACGATTATTGAAATAACCGTCTAATGGATTACGGGCAGAAAATAAGTTTCCTTAATATACGCCTCTTCATCGCAGATCTCCGGTGTTTGATGTTTTAGAAATCAAGGCTGTCGCCTTTGATCATGATGGCTAACTCTCTTATTAGTCAGTGGGCGCTATGCTTGAAGACTGGCAGTCAACAAATCTAAAGCAAATGAACTTTAAACGTTCAGGCCAGTCTCCATACACCTACACATTAGGTTTAATGGAATGACGCCTATCAGAAAACAACTACTCCCCTGGCTAATACCACGAACGGCGTTGGATTATATCCAACAGGCGTCAGTGCAGGAATCTTCACAGAAAATTTCCTGCATATGCAATTGGCAATACATTATTTTCGAGGTTGAATGGAAGAGCAACTTTTGATTGGGTCTTCAGTGACAAGATCAGAAAATGAATATTGCCTTTTGATAGGTACGTGGGTGGATTCTATATATTGTATTCCATACGTTGTATTTCATTTATTTTTTTTACCTATCAATAAAAACAACTTTTATTATTATTATTATCAAGTTCGAAAACACTGGAAAGATTGTTGGCTCTTCACTTCTACATCATTTTATAAAAATGTGGAAAACCCCCAAAAACAGAAAGTATTCACCCTGAGTATAAATTATTCGGAATGATAAGTGTATCGTACAGGGTACAAGTACATGGGTATGACATCTTTCCAATGGGAGAGCCCAAGAGATCCAAGACAAAAAAAGCACGCCAAGTTCCATTAAATATCAAGTTGACTGTTTTTCCAATTACCGTTGCATAGTGCATCAAAAATTCATGAAACATGGTCGTATGGACAACAAACGATGTCCCACTTGCGAGAAGCCTTACGAAAAAAAAACGCCCAGTATTGTGAAAAAACAATTCATAACGTATGCACCTGCTCACCCATCATTGCTTTTTCATAATTTTCTGACCAAAAACACCACCGTAATCATGCTATAGTCACCGTATTCACCAGATTTTGCCCTTGCGACTTTTTCCTGTTCTCAAGATTGAAGAGATCCATGAAAGGACGGCGATGATTAAGGAGTGATTATATCCAACAGGCGTCAGTGCAGGAATCTTCACAGAAAATTTCCTGCATATGCAATTGGCAATACAACTGAAAGAGTCGACCCTCAATTTTAGAACGGGCACACTTGCAGACCGGTTTTGGGCTCATTAGCCACTCGTCAGTGCAAGATAGTGACCATCATCGACCTAAAGTCTACTGTGTAGGTTAATTTGCTTTAGATATGATGGCTAATACTCAATTTGATAAACAATATTTGTATAATTTTAGACAGACCATGTTTCAGGTTATCCCATCAATGATATCTGGGAATTGGTAAGGTTCACAAGTATCTGAAACTCGAAGACATACATAACATTCATCTTGAAAATTGCTAGAAACTTCATTTCAAATATCAATATTTTTGAAGGAAATGTATCAATGAATACAGAATATATGATCAATAAATTTGTAATATCACAACATCCGAACGCTCCTGGTAGTTATTCATCACAAATTTACATTCCCTCATCCAAAATATCGCCTCCTTCGAATGTGAATGTTCAACTTTGAATACAGTGTGTAACAACGAAAACTCAACAGAGCCGTTTTTGAATATAAAAAGTCAGATTTTTAAAAAAAGCTCGGACACGTCGATTTCTAATCAAAGGGGGACACCTTTCAGACTAATCTGATTTTTTGTAGTACGCACCCCCTCGGAGGGGGGTGCGTACTACAAAAAACCCTTATTTAGATACGGAAAGTAGGTCGAGTGGCACCGTGTTTTAAAGGCCTTTCGAAAACCTTTACAAGTATGTTAAAAGAAAATTTTTGTAAAGATTAGTTTTCGAGATAATTNCGAGAGACCTTTAAAACAAGGTGCCACTCGACCTACTTTCCCTATCTAAATAAGGGTCGTCGGACGTACCCCTCCGAGGGGGTGCGTACTATAAAAAATCTGATGAGTCTGAAAGGTGTCCCCCTTTAATTAGAAATCGACGTGTCCGAGCTTTTTTTGAAAATCCTACTTTTTATATTCAAAAACGGCTCTGTTAAGTTTTCGTTGTTACACACTGTATATAGGTAGGGAATGAATTAATGAATTATTCAGATATTCAGAGAAACGAAAAAAACAACCCTTGAAATCCAGGTCCTGACCTTTTCAGACTCACAATCCCGAACTTTCTAGCCCCAGACACGCTAGTTGTCGATATAAGGGAGTGTACCAGAGGAAATTCTTTTTCGTCTGATCACATTTTTTGTCGTGTTCCATAACTCGGCAGGTAAAACTCTCCAACACGAAAGGAAATTCCTATTAACCCTTTGGATGATACGGCAAGAGGACGGTGGGGGGTTGAACACGGTGAGGGCTCATAATACTCGTCCGTGAAAGTGAAAAGCTTCAGGTCGCCGTAGACTTTTGAAATAGTCCGGGAGTTTTGAAAAAGTTTTGATTATTTCCATTCGTGTTGCATTTAAGTTGAACAAAGGTGTGATTTGAATTGAAGTTGTGATGACTTCACCACCCAATATGACTGTGATTCATGGAATCTCCGGAAGTTTATATCATGACATGACATGACATGATAAATAAGACATGTCACGACATATTATGACATAACACTTCATGACACGACATGACAAGACAAGACACAACAAGACATGCCAGACGTAACACATGGCATGATACAACATGACATGACACGACATGCTTCGATAAGATAAAACGTTACACATGACGACATTATATGATACAACATGCCACGATATGACACGACACGACAATACAGCCTGACATGACACGTCCTGACACGATATCACATGACATGATCCGACTCGACAGGATATGACACGACATTTCAGCATGACATGACATAATATGACACGACATGACACAACAAGACATTACAGACGTAACACATGACATGATACAACATGACATGACACGACATGATACGATAAGATAAGACGTTACACATGACGACACTATATGATACAAAATGTCACGATATGACACGACACGACATAACACAGCCTGACATGACACGTCCTGACACGACATCATATGACATGATACGACTCGACAGGATATGACAACACGGCATGACCCGACACGGTATGATACGACACGACATAGCACGACACGATATGATACATTATGCCACGACATGACACGATATAACACGACATGACATAAGAACAAAACATACCATACGAGTATGTCGTGTCATGACATGGCATGGCATGTCAAAAACGTTTATATGTCCTGAATACATCAAATTGGACTAATCCAATTCTGAGCTGATAATACAGACATGCTTGATGTGAGAAAAAATTTCGAAACTGTGCCAAACCGATGTTAATTGGTACAAACAGTAGCTTTGCTTCCTACAGGGTAGTAATTTAGTGAATATTCATATCACACTGAGTTATTGGGGGAAAAGGATTGGGATATAACATGCGATGACATGACATGGACATGACAAGAAATGACAGGTCTGGACAATATATAACATGACAACACAAGGACACAGCAGAAATATGGGGGTAGAGAATAACAAGGCATGACATGACATGACAGGGACATGAAATGACAGGGCATGACAGGATATGACAGAGCATGACAGGATATGACAAGGACATGACAGAGATATGGCATGGACATGACAGGATTTAACAGCGATATGAGACGTGACAGGGATATGGTAAGGACTTGGCTTGAGATGACAGGAAATAACAGAACATGACAAGGCTATAACAAGGATATGATAGGACATGACATGTCCTGACATGATAGGTACATGACAGGACACGGCATGATAGGAACATGATATGGACATGACAGAGACCTGACAGGACATTGCATAATATGCTATGATATAGCTTCATATGCTATATAAGATTTGACATATCAAAAAACATTCTTATGTCCTGAGTACATTAAATTGTATAAATCCAACTCAGATATTTTGAACAACTGGCTTCATTTGGGGCCATTTTTGTAACATTTGAAGTATTTTACTTCAGATATCTCTTGAACAATGTACAATATCAAAATCAGCCAAGAGTCAGGATTAAGTATCTCTTTTCATTGAAAAAAATGGAGAAAATTGTAAAAAGGTTCCGGAAATATGGAAATTCAACTATATTTTCATTAGTGTTCCTTTGACATTGTGAACTTGACAAAAAATGCCTTCAAAATAATATTGGACCCCAAACAATGTTGACCCCGTACAACGAAATAGCACTGCAATGAAAGAATAATTATTTCGTATTCCACTATCAATCTTGAATGCCTACCCTCGAAAAAATACAGTAAATCTCCGCCTCTCTCTCTCTCTCTCTGTCCTTTATATTCCACCCACACTATCGATAAAATACGGATACTAACCTCGAAACACATGTAGGGCACGTTGTTTCAGTTTGAAGCTCTGGATGTGTTTCGTATTCTGCGTCAGTGAAGTTTCTGCCAAGCATTCAGAGGTAGTTTCCAGTTCCTTTATGACTTCCTCTTTCATGTAAGGCGGATCGTGCAAAGTTTCCTCTACTAGCGAAATCATAGCCTGTAGATCGACGCGAAGAGCTTTTTGTAGTTCTCCTAATCGCTTTATTTTTGCCCATTCCAGTCCTCTTTTCTTGGCCATTACCTAGATTGTACAATAGAAATGGGTTACTGAGCAGCAGAAATTGTAATAGGAGGTTTTTGAGGTGTCGAATTCAAACCTGATGTTCTTATTGCTCTTACTCGTAGGGGGCGCCACCTACACGTCTTTTTCTTTTTTAAAGATTCATAACTTTTTTGGGCCTACTTCTAGCACATTTTTCGTTGAAAAAATCGATCCCTCTATCATATCTACGTAAATAAGCTACCCTTGTTACTAGTCGCTGTAAGCAACCGAAGTTTGTCAAGTTACTTGTCAAGGTACTTTTGAATCAACCTGTATAAAAACCAATTTATAGAGTTAGTCCAAGAATACCAAATATGTCCATTTCATATATTGAAGATGACATTTTTTCAGCAGCCTTAACAGACTCTGAAGAAGTTGAGCATGTTTCAATTATTTCACAAATCCAAAACAAAAACAGCCACCACAAACTAGTCAACTTGGCTGGTGAAAACGCTGGTGAAAACACTTTTCACAGAAGTTTACTGCACGGCCGTGATTGGGACATGACAGGGACATGACAGGACATAATAGGGACATGAGCAAGACATGACAGGGATATGAGAGAAACATGACAAAAGAGGACATGACATGATAAGGACATTGAAGGGACATGACAGGACATGGCAGAAAATGACAGAACTTTCAGGGACATGACAGAATATGTCATGTCATGTTATGTGTATTCCGACGTATGATAACGAATTGAGAAATGCAGACTATTTGACCTGGTTCAGTGATATGACATATCATGACAGGAAATGATATGGACATGATCAGGATATGACAGGAACATAACATGATAGGGACATGACCAAGACATGACAGGGACATGACATGTCATGACAGAACATGACATGACATAATAGGGACATTGAAGGGACATGACAGGACATTGTAGGAAGTGACAAGACATGGTAGGAAATGAGAGAACGTAGTAGGAAATGACAGAACATGTAGAAACATGTCAGAACATGTTATTGTATTTGGACGTTTATTGACGGGTTGGGAAATGCAGAATATTTGAGCTGGTTGAAGGTTATGGCACCTGTATCTGTGGAGCCCCATATTATGGAGGTGTTTTCTTAGTTGACAGTGGTCAGTTAGGAATTCTACTGTTGAGCGTAGAGTTTTCGTGGTCATCGCCAGTTATTTCTTTGGCGCCAGCTACCCAGGATCGCCCAAGGAGATTCTGGCAAGATTTCATCCTTTGATTCCATTCCATCTCTTTAGGGATGGAGCATGGGTGTAACATTTGGCTAGTTCCGCAATTGCCGAAGTCATCAGGACGTAGATGCCACTGGGTCCAGCCGATTCCTTGGCTAAAGAGTCGGCAATGCGATTACCTTTACTCCTGTCGTGCCCTTTAACCCATCTCAGGGTAATGTTATTATCTACCAAGGCTTTGCCAAATTCTTGGTGGAACTCTAGCACTAGCCCTGAGGTTACACGTTGTCTGTTCAAGGTTGATAGGGCTTGTCTGCTGTCAATGCAGATTGTTGTTTTTGCCAGGAAATCCTTTCCTGGTCATTTCTTTTGTGGCGATTGAGATACCAACCAGTTCTAAGGATATGGCGAATCATGATAGAAAATGACAGGGACATGACATGGTAGGGACATGACATGACATGAGGGGGACATGACATAGACATGACTAGGAAGTTTCATGGATATAACTGGAACATAACAGGGACATGACATGTCATGACAGGACATGACACGACATTTTAGGGAAATGACATGGATATGATCCGAACATGAGAGGAACGTGACATGTCATGACAATACATGACATGATAGGGACATGAAATGGACATGACGGAAATACATGACAGAAACATGAGTTGATAGGACCACTGAAGGGACATCTTGTGAACGAAGTTCCAAAACTGAGAAAGAAACATCGAACAGACTGACTGAAGAAGAGTATGCTTCTGTTTTCATGCAAGTGGACACACAGTTTATGAAAATGAAGACTGGCTACAGTGCGTAATCCAAATTTTTCAAATGCATCTCTGCATGACTGCCTCCAGCCTAGCTGAGTCCACTTGTGAAGTAGCGTAGCACAGAATCAACAGAGATTTCCTATCACAGTCACTTGCCATGCATCTCTATTCAATAGAATAATTTCTCAACTCACTGCACGGCTTTGCTTGTAGTACCAAATTCGGCATATGATTTTGCATTCTCATATATAGTGAAATTCTCTTGGATACCACTCAAACTGAGTCTTATTACAGCTTTCCCACTCACATTCAACATTAGATGATTTTTCTTTGCCTATGTTTCCACTTGTTGATAGGGATTTTGCGGAATTCATGAGAAGCTTCATCAATAAAATTTGAATCATATGAAACCTAATGAATGTAACCATATGAAATTTTGTGAGGTTATTGAGGTGAATCATCAGGTCAATGGCGAACAGGGTTTCAATTTACACGTGATAAGAAAGTTACTGCCTTGAAGTTGACTCGATGTGTTGAAATCATTTCAGTTATACCAAATTATGCCAGTGCATAGATCATCCTCCTTTTCACTTCAAATCACTTTTGGGAAACCTCACATAGTTCTTCAGTAAGACCTACTTTGTGTTTTATAAGCAATGAATACTGTCGAATGCTTCAGAAAGATTTCCACTACATCATTTGCAGCACAACCTCGAATAAATGGAACACTAGGAATTTCTCTTGCTGAAGTTCTCACTTCAGCCAGACTGTACTATACTATAATGGCCTTTCCAAAGTCCGATATTTTCAGTTTACAACTCATTGGATATTTGGCACAGCGTTATTGGAGGAGTTAAACGGGGCATAACATTGAAATTTCATTATTCGAGATTGCGTTGATGGTGTAATTTAATGTCGTTGGATTCTTCTACTTCCGAAATGAAAAAGTAATGAACCAATAAATTCTAATGTTCCGATTTCCACGAACGCCCGAGGAAACTAATAATCTTTCCCAAAACAAATATTTGAACAGTTTCGATATTGGAAGGGCTGAACGTATCTATCATCAAGGGACAGTACGCGGTGTGTCAAGAAATCAACGAAACCAATGGATTTGAGAAGAGAAAAAATTATTTTGAACATATGAATGTCATTGACGATTAAGAAACTGATAATATTCGGAGAGGAAGAGTAAGTAATATAAAAAAAGGAGAAAATGATTCCAAATTGAGTAAGTAAAAACGTTTCTGTGGTCAGATGAAAATGATCCGACGCTATGATAATCCAAATGGAGGAGTACAGATTCAAAATTCATGAGTAGGATGGAAAATTAGAATGCGCAGAAGAGAAATGATTCGAAAAAACAGTTTTTATTCGGTCTCCATACATGCAATTCTCTTTCATAACTCACTTCAGTTTCCGACTACAAATATATCATTGTATGTACGAGTGAACTAGTCTTGACTGGTCTTTCATCCTTGTTATCCCAACACTTTCAGACCATTGTTTCTCACCTTGGATAATCTCAGGGTTAGCTTACTTCTCTCCATTTCCTCAACTTTCAGTAATTCTTCGATGTTGATGATGTAGGAATCGAAACAATAACATGTTGAAGATAAAGAAAGCACTTGACGCATTGAAATTTTAAAGATGTAGACTTTGACGCATTCACACGTTGAAGATATGAAACTTGACGCATTCAAATGTGAAGTTATGAAACTTGACGCATACACATGTAAACATGTAGGACTTGACGCATTCAAATGCTGAAGATATATGACTTGAAGCGTTCACATGTTGAATAAGTAGGACTTGACGCATTAACATGTTGAATATATAGTACCTGACGCATTTACATGTTGAAGATATGGAAGTTGACGCATTCACAAGTTGTAGATATAGAACTTGACGCATTTACGAATTGAATATATAGGACTTAACCCATTGACATGTTGAAGATATGAAATTTGACGCATTCACGAGTTGAAGATATAGGACTCAACGCATACATATGTTGGAGATATAGAACTTGTCACATTCAAATGTTGAAGATATAGAAATTGACGCATTCACAAGTTGAAGATATAGAACTTGACGCATTCACAAGTTGAAGATATAGGACTTGACTCATTCACAAATTGAATATATTGGACTTAAAGCATTCACATGAAGATATGGAATTTGGAGTATTCACAAGTTGAAGATATTTGATTTGGCGCATCCATATCTTGAAGAGATGAAACTTGACGCATTCACAAGTTGAAGATATTGAACTTGGCGCATTCACATGTGAAAAATAAAGAAATTGACGCATTCACAAGGTATTTGAAAAATTGGAGTTTACTGATTTGGTTTTCGTGAGGCTGCTGAGTTGTGTGCTTGTGGACTGCGTGACCAGGTTTGAAGCAATTTCCAGGGTTATACGTTTTGTCGTATTAACTGCCTTTAGGAGTTCTTGTGAGCAAGAGAGGGATATCACTCGCGTTGGCCAATGGAAAAAAGTGATTGAGTTATTGTCAAATTGTCTGAGACAACTGCCAGAAATGCGTCATATAGAACACCTCAAGGATCAGTTTGGGGCAGTACTTTCATTCTTTTCTCTAGATAAAAATTGTGAAAGTCACTTTTGCAGATGACACGGTTCTTGGAAAAATCTCAAACAAGAAACCGAGCTTGATTTCCAAAATGTTTTCGAATAGAATACTAAACGCAGAAATTTAAAATATCTTGGGTCGAAATTTAAAGTAAGAGCTATGAATGAAACATTCAATACGATAAGTTATAGTGAATTAACTATTTCAGAGATTTTCTGAACAAAAAATATCTTGGTATGTTTTGTTATTTGGCACAATCTTGAATATCTTACCAAATTCAAGAATGGGTTATGGTCAATTATTGTTCCATGAATAAAGCTAATGAACCCATGAAAATAAACATCTCTTCTTTGGAATGTTGATATTTTGGAAATTCGATAAGTAGAAATGCAATTATCGTAAATCAAAGATGAATATTGGTGTTTTTTTCCGCACTGAGAAAACTATTGGCTGGAAACGTGTAGATCATTCAACACCTGGAAAAATGTCGATAGATTGATCAAGCATGAGAAATACGCCAACACATCGTCAAAACGACGAATGATGAAAATTAATGAATTCTGCAATATAGTCGAGAAAATCATCATCCAAATTGAAAGCAGTATATTTTAAGGGCGGATCAGTTTTTGGGTGGAAAATGCTTTTTTGATTTATTTTCCATACAAACAATTGCGGAAAACTTGTAATAGTCTTTTTATAAATGATAGTAGGAGTATTAGCCAGCGGAATAGTTGTTTTATGATAGGTGTCAGTCCATCAACCAACAGTGCAGGTAAGTCGAGACTGGCCTGAACAGATTGTTCTTTCAGTTGATTAGAGTAGATGAACTTGTTTCATTCTAGGACACCATTTCTACTCCCACCAATCTTCAATGTTCTACCGTGGATATTTATAGTATCGTCTCCCAATTACGAAACGATGTAAATAATGGGACCATTCAATCATTACAGATTCCCCATTTCAATATCAAGTGGACTGGCGTCAATATAAACACAAAGCAATAAACGAGTTGAGGAACGATTCGAAGCGTGAACGACAAACAATCAGCCTACAGACAGAAAACGAGACGAAGGAGCAAAACCGACGTCTTCTTTAATGAATATTCGCCTGACGTTTCACTTTGAACAGAATTCAGTAATTTTATGAAGTTGATGAAAATAGACAATTCGAACAGAGAGGAAATATTCTACTGGAAGATGCCACATCCGCCCTGGATTCAGCAAGAATTTCCGTAACACCAGTTTCTTGATCAAGGTTGGAGTCAGGGAGATGGTGGAAAAATAGACGCGTTAGGTGATTTGAAGAAGATTCGAATCCAAGATTGATTCTGGCACTGGAATAGATAAACTAATGCTAGTTTAATTCACGAATTCAGCAAGAAAATCCATACACAATACGGGGATTATAGTCAAAGCAGTCGATGCATGAGATCCAAAAATTCAGCATAGGAATCTTTCACTTATTAATACATACCGTATATTTGAATAATTACATAAAACATTATAGAAGATTTACAATGGAATCAATTTCACACATCGAAGTACCAATTTGAACAAACAACTAATTTTATCGTCCCTACATTTTAGATCCAGAGAAAGATCATTTTTTCAGAGAGTGTACACTGACTGAACTATTTGAATGGAAGGTTTCGAAGCGTAACTTTGGATGAAACTATGTCTTGAATATATCTGCAGGTGTACTTCAAGGTTCAATTCTAGGTCCTACGCTTTTCGAAATCTACGCATCCCAATTTCCAAAGTGTCTCCATCACATCGAAATTTATAGCTACGCAGATGACACAATCGATTTTCAGAATCTTCTGTAGCACTTGCTTGTGAGCAAATGAAAGCAGATTTGAAATCCACACTCACAACCTCAAAGAAGTACTGCCTGACAATCAATCCCTCCAAAACAGTAGTAAAGCTATTTGGTCGAACAGCAATGAGAAAAAGATGAGAGAGAAATATTGATTGGACGAGCATCAATTGCATTTGACAGAATCTACGAAAAAACTTGGTCTCATAATTGACTAATCCCTTGAGCTCAACTCTCATGTCTCCCAAATTATAAAACGTTTATCCGATGAAAAAAATACAGACCCTACAAAACACATATCTCAGACTCATTACAGGAACCAGGAGGGGACAACACGTGTCTCATCATTTGGATAGACTAGGATGGCTGAAAATGGAAGCTCGACGCATATTTTATGCTTGTATCACCTACCATAAGATTATAACAACAAAAGTACCCAGTTATCTTCACAAAATAAGATATCTTCAAACAAGGCTCAACCTCTGACGGACGCAAGAAACTCTTTGGTAGGTTCGAAATAGATGAACATTTCAACCTAGCAGACCACTATTATAATATTCATGCAGTCATTGTTCACTGCGGTTCTGGCATTGAATTTGGTCATTATTACGCCTTGGTCAAAGACGAAACGGACTGGTTTAAGTTTGACGATAGTCGTGTCACGAAATGTTCTGGTGGAGCATTGAATCTATTGGAGCCTCTGGAGACACCCTACATTTTGTTTTATAAGAGAGAGGACATCGGTAGATCAAGATCTTCAGATGATGTTGTGCTGCAGAATTTTCCGGGTTTTCCTGCAGCTGAAAAATCAAATGCGCCACTGGAATCAATGAAGTCGCCCCAGAGCGCCAATTAATTTCCATTGTTGTTTTTATTTTTATCGTTGTTTTATTTGAATGATTATATAGATATAGAACAGACATTAATTTGAGTCTGAGATTCATAAATCAACTAACTACACCCCGCCACAGAACCAATTCTGGCTTTAACGTATTCCAAAAACACTTTATTGTGAGATTTTCACTAAATTGTTTTACAAAAACGCAACACGTGTTTCGCCATACAATGGCTTCATCTGTATAAAAATGTGGAAAACCCCCAAAAACAGAAGAAAGTATTCACCCTGAGTATAAATTATTCAGAAAGATATGTGTATCGTAACGAATCATAGGTACATGGTTATGACATCTTCCCAATGGATAGCCCAGGACAAAAAAAGCACGCCAAGTTTCATCAAAAGCTCATGAAACATGGTCGTATGGACAACAAACGATGTCCACTTGCGAGAAGCCATACGACAAAAAAACGCCCAGTATTGTGGGAGAACAATTCATAATGTATGCACCTGCTCACCCATCATTGATTTTTCGTAATTTTCTGGCCAAAAACACCACTGTTATCATGCCATAGTCACCATATTCACCAGATTTTGCCCCCTGCGACTTTTTTCTGATCTCAAGATTGAAGAGATCCATGAAACGATGGAGACAAATTGAGAAGATTGAAACTGAATCGCTTCGAAAGGGTCGTAATAGAAATTGATGAAAAAAAATACATTTTTTGAGAAATGTCGGGACTGGGGATAGGTGAATTATTATTCAGTGTACTCACGATAAAATTTATTAACACAAAACACAATGAGAAACAAAACACGAGAAAGAAAATTACAGGGTAACCTCAAGGAACTAACACTAAGTCTTTTCTCGATCAGCGAGGAGATTGTAGAGAGGGTTTTTTCTCAGAGAAAACCACTGAGTAAGAAATAGTTCTCGGCCCAAATCCCAGAAAAGAATGAATGTCTTTGCTAAGAAATGTGTTAGAAGTAACTTTCTCACTGACAATGGTCGAGTTATAAATATAGTCAAAAAGGATCAACCACTTGGGCCCTTGTCTTTATCCATCGAAGTGTTAACAATGAGTACATACTCGAAACATCCCAAATGGTTTCGCTCTAAATATCTATCTGGTTTTCGGCAATAAACTTTCTTTTCGAGAGAAGAGGGCATTTCAATGATATGCGATGAAAAAATACAAAAATTCTGAGTGAAAATTGAAATGAAATAATTAACATAATAAAAAATCTGATTAGTCTGAAAGGTGTCCCCCTTTAATTAGAAATCGACGTGTCCGAGCTTTTTCAAAAATCTTACTTTTTATATTCAAAAACGGCTCTGTTAAGTTTTTGTTGTTACACACTGTATACGATTTCCTCAAGGGAAAATATTCCACAGTCGGGTGTTCGCCAGTACAATATGAATATAGAAGTCGCTGAAAAAAAAGCCATATGCACGAAATTGCCAATTAACTTTAAAAACGAATGAGGATGGCACATATTTCCATGATTCCGCTGATAAAACGATATTAGTCTTTTGAAATGTACATGAGCGCAGTGGGATTCAACACGAATATTACTGTTGGTACTTTCGTGTTTGAGAAAATGAAAAAAAAGTTGAGAAAATGATGATAATTTCAGTTTGGGAACGTTGAATATGATTATTTACTTTATTTAAGTATTCTACAGTGATAGTGCACACATTTACTTATTTTAATCATTTATAATATGAATGAAGATGATATAGGTTGGAAATTTCAGAATGAATTATTTCCTCAAATTCGCCAACTACAAAAGTATGAACCCACCAATAACATCGTTCGTTTTTGTTCTAACCAAACAGAAAATAATTTGGGCAAACTTCAGTGTCGGATAAATCAGGAGTGTATACGTTAACTTGTCGTTATTGCCCAAAATTTACATTGGTCAAACTGAAAGAGCCTTTTCCCAAAGAATGAAAGACCATAGGAGTACTTTTTCGAACGTGGACTTTTCGAAACTCAATCTTTTGGTGTGCCCGTCAATTAATAAATTTGAGAACTTCATGACCAAATAGAATTATGATCTTCCCCCCTCTTAAATCTATTTTCTAATGTGAAAATTGGAATTAGTTTATAACATGTAGGTACTTTCAATGAGTTGCTATTTTTGTTGGTTTTCAAATTGTTGTCATATAAAGCACAATTTGGTAGACTTCAGTTGGTTTAAATATGCCTGAGGAAGCTATTGCACAGCGAAACAAGTAATTATCCACTAGAAGACATTACAATTGAGTATTTATACTGTATAAAGAAATTGAGGTTATGTACGAGGTCCAATGTAATTATTTATTATGGTCTACTATATCTTTCATTTCGTCACAAATGAAAGCAATAATCATAGTTTCTCGAGTCGTAAACTTTTGGGTGAGAGACTCCTAAATTTACACAGCTCCTGATTTACCGATTTTCAAGAAAGAAATTCACTATCATCAGTGTATCATTATTTCAGGCTTGTTATTTCATCACAGTAGGAAAATCAAAACCTTCAGGACATATTTTCATTTCGAGTATTTTTTCAAAAAAAGCCTGCTTCAAATATTAGAAATACTTCATATCAAAGATTATTTGGATCCGGCTCGAAGGACCAAACAAATTAATTTTCCGGGACCGAATCTATAACGGAGCACTCCATCATTATTCTCCTGACCACAGAGAAAAACGTAGTTTTGGAATCGATTTTCGAAAAAAATTAACTCTCACCTGCGCTGCTAGACGGCATTCGATCACCCTGCAGTTGAAATCGGTGGTGGCGGCCTTGTTCAAATTCGTCAAGCTGTGGGCTATGACGAAAACCGCCCCCGAGGGAAGGTTGATGTCGGTGGATCTCAAGGGAGAAAACTCGATGAGTTTGGCGCAACCTGAAAAAAGGCGAAAAATGATGTTACAGCGGAAATTGAATTGGAACTGTTTTGTTGAATTTGCTCAGCGGTGGGAAATGATTTATATCAACAATGAGACGTATTTGAAGCGGAGTAACGTAAAGAGTATTTGATCTGCGATCAGTATCAGCGTTATATAGGGTGTTTGTAATTGGTTAACATGGTTCATTGAAGAATGTTAAAAGTTTGGACGTTCATTTGAAGAGATTTGTAATCTATTCAAAAACTTATGAAAGAAAATATTTTTGGAAATACTCAAGTCCGATGGAAGTATTGTGGTCAAAAAATTGTGACTACAATTATGTTTTTCCTTCACAAATCAGCGTTATAATAATTTCGGTCAGATTGTTTCTCGTATTATGACAAATTTCCTCCCACTGGGGCCTGCTTATATCCATCAAGATGGATATCTTTCGGATACTTCTACCGTCAACGCTGGAATTCCCCAGTTATCCATCTCCAACTTTCAGACATTTGATGTGAGGAAGTTATTAGTCTGTTGAATGTTCTTCCCATAAACGGAGTAGAACAAGTTGGAGGAATTAGAACACTGTATAATTATCATTCCGCTAGTGTATGCAATGTTGAAATCATATCAGTTTCAGTTAAAGATTTCCTGAAATTTTGAAAATCAGTCGATATGTCATGAACTATATAAAAATATGGTTCAAATAATTGCATACATATTTCATTAGTATCAATGATTCTAAAGAAGAAAGAATGGGCTTCTTTCATGATTTTTGGTTTATAGTTCACTGGATAGAAATTTCAAATTGAAAAACAGTGCACTTTGTTTCGTCTCTCTATGTATCATAGTTTTCCAGTAATTAATTATTAAAAATCCAATGTAGTAGGGTGGTGACGTCACGGCCCTATTCCCGCTTCTTGTTCGATTGACCAATGGGAACAATAGAAATAATCAACATTACCAAATCGTAAAATTTACTGAGCCTATAATTATCAATTTAATTATGAAAGTGTATATAAACCCGTCAACGTTTCAATTAATGAAAAATTCTCCACATGGAATAAAATGTACACGAAATATCATATTTGAAAATAAGTTATATATCTAAAATCAGTACACTTAGCTGTCAGCTAAGAAAAAGATGAAACGCAATGTTGCAAAAATAAGCAGAATGGATCCGATATGACATACATTTTCAATGCCGAATAAACCAATAAATTGTGATATGGGTTCTCCATTTTCCTGAGAAAATGAACAATCAATTGAAATTTTCTGTAATTCGTCATCCAGCAAACAAATAAATATAAAATAATAAGATTGCTCGAATCCACGAATTAAGCATAAAAATGGACGATAATATTTCTGCAGTTACTGCAGTTTCGTCCTATATGGACATTCTCAAACGTATACAATAAACTGGTTGGAGTTTATTGTGTAAGTTTGGCTTTCTTACACCTGTATTAAGTTCTTGATCACAGTTTTTATCATTTTCAGATTGTGGAAAGTGACGATTTCCAGAAAGATCCATGTGAAACTGTCCTCAGATCGTGTGAGATGACCAGAAATCAACCAAAAGAAACTACAGTGATTTTCAGCAGAATTTTTTTCATTTCCACTAGCGATCGATCTTTCCTCTATGACCTTCACTGATCATCATTAATTTCTGCCCATCAATTCGATGAAGAAAAAATTGAAATACCCATTTGATTAATTGGTCTCTGAGTAGCGTAGCTGACGTAACACCACAATGACAAATTGTTGGCCATTCGTTCTTCGCAATAACTATCTGAGTTATTAAACAGTGGACTTCTGCGAGAGGAATTTAATATCAGGAGTGGTAGTGATGCCTCTTGTCGAGACAAGACAAGAAAATGATTTCTCTCGTCTTGTCTTGACTAAGTCGAGAGAAAATGGTCTCTCGTCTTGACAAGAGACCTGTTTTTCAGGCACTCTCTTGTCTTGTCTTGTCTTGTCTCGACTTCTCTTGGCGAGAGAACGTCCTTGGTATTCAGAATTTGCAGTAAACGGAAACTTAGTGGTTATTTGGGTACTTGAACGCTGCACTGGATTCGTCCGTTTAACAGTGATGTCAGTTGTATACTAATTGTGAATAACTTCGAATTATTCTGGTATAAGTATATCAGGCATTATTTAATCGAAAACTTTCTGACAAAACAGTTTCGGATACTTGATTATTCAACCTCTAACATGATTTCACTTGCTCTCAAGATGAAAAATGCCATCAACCCTTTATGCGACCACAATGAATGTTTGAAAAATTTCAAAATTCGAGATGACGAATGGAACACTCTTACCTTCGTAAATAGTTTTCTGAGATATTTCGAAGATCTTTCAACCATCTTATGTGGAGATCATTATCCAACTCTACCATCGGTAATTGTTGGCTTCAATATTCTGATAGATAATATAGAAAAACTTATTATTGTAGTTTGTATTCTGGAAAACAGGGACGAGAAAAAACAACATAGATTCGAAAAATACAGATTTAAAAAAGATTTGTGAGGAAACTATCACGAAGATTCTGTTTCTATCATTATCAGCTCCCTTTAGTCGGTTAACTGTCACAAATTATTTGAATTTTTATTTTTTGTGAGGTGTCAACCTCCAAATTTCCATCAATATGTGACTTAGAAAACCCCTCCACTCGTTATTGTCTTTTCACCGTATTTTTGAACAAATTGGTTCAGTTCACAAAATAAAAATTATATAAATTCCACCCTTGGAGAGTCTCAATTTCAATGTCTTCAAACGGAGAAGGGTTGATCTGAATGCTTATCACGCTTGATACCATACTGTTTTAATTACGAAAAATTACGGGACGTTTCAATTAGTATGTTTCGTCTGCGGTTCGCTCGTATGCTGGCTTTGTGTGGATTCTGCGTGCTTAGAAGGGTTGAATGTGGCACACATACAAATTGGACCACCTTTACCTTTCGCATTTTGCTTGGATTACACCAGTGCTTTGTACGAGGGATGAAGCGCAGGGTTTTCATAATCTTTGTTCTGTCGTAGACAGAAATAACTGGTCATTGCGAGTATTTCTACTACAAAATAAATATACTTAAGTACAGGTAATGATTATTCAAATTTCATATTTTCAACCATTGTTGCGTAAAAAAAAACGAAATTGTGACTACTATTGATTACTTATCCTCCATACCATTACAAAACAAATCGTAATTAGAGCTGATTTGAATGACTTCAAGAATAGTAAACAATAATACGGTGAATAAATACAAAATAATTTATTCTGATAAATTTCTTTTCTCACTACAGTCAAAAAATGCTTATTTTCTTCCATTCTTTGCAGACGCAGACCTGATGACTGTTACAATATCCTCCAGGTTTCAACAGCATAAGACAATGGGAAGAGCAAGCAGCATCGTTAATTCCATCAATGTCGACGCTTAATGTATCGCAAATGAATCTCTTCACACGAACATTCTCTGCAAAAAAAATTAATTATCACTATTAGATGACGAACTACTAATGATCAGTGCCACATTCATATCAGTCAGCTGTCGCTGGTTGTTCGAAGAAAAGTTTACTGATTATGTTGCTTCTATCAATATTAGTTTACTTGTTACTATAGCAATCGAGAACTGATAATTCTGAAAATGCACTCCATTCGTCAAAGTAGCTACGATTCTTTTGGAAACTTCAGGCTTTTGAATTCAAAGACACATTCTGAATTGATAACAGGGATCAACTGAAATATTCAAATTGGATTATGATTACGCTGACCGAGTATTTGTAATTCAGAAATTTTTCATTTGACTATTAAGGAACGTATTAGATTTTTCTTCATAAAGGTGTTTTTGAAATCATCATAACAAAATTTAGTTGAGACCAACTGAAACGGAAAAGTACCGCATATATTCAAAATCGAGGATTCGCTTTTGGTCACAGAAAGTATGTAAACCGTGTCTACTCGAAATTAAGTATTATTTATGTAATTCTTTTCATCCCACTAAAATTTGGTTTTTCACAAGTCACTTTGTATTTTTGTATTATATTTAGTTGTGATTACACAAAAAATGATATTAATTTGCTCAATAAAAATTAGAAAAACGGGTAGAATTTTGTTATTTCGACCTAATTTTTTAAAAGTTTTCAATTACATACATTCAAATATATGTTCAGGTTAGATAATTGAGAACGACAAGGATAATTGTGTTTCAATCAAATATTCAGTAGATTTTTGGTTTTACTTATGGAATCAGAAGTTCATAGGCTTACGTCACAGGTGGAGCTACTAGTATTGAATCCATATGATTTTTAGTTAAACCTAACCTTAAAAAGACACGTATATAAATTTCACAGTCGTAGGACTATTATTTTGAGGAATAGAACAATTGTATGACCTCTATAATCGTGATTTCAAATTTTCATGTAGATAGATCCAATATTTTTGTCCCTTTCACGTTCCTTTCACGACAGAAAATATCAAAAAAAAAGTTATAATTTCGATTGATAACTATTCAACTATATTTTTTTCAGCTATTTTCGTGACAAATTTTTCTGTTGTGAATCTTTTTTAGATCTGAATTTTAATTAATAAAACTAACTAGTTTCAATTCGAAAATATGGTTTGCTTTGAAGAAACATGACTGAGGATGAAAAATTTACTAAGAATGTAGTTTTTGACGATCGATTGTCATTGATATATGAGTTTTTTCATAATTATAAAAAACCAGGAATCGTTTTTTGAAGCAATACCAGTTTTTTCAATCTGTTGAAGGTTTCTTAGAACTAATCCGCATTTTTTTGTGTACATTATTTCCTTTATTTATTTCTACAATTTTTTCCTGCGGTATTCTGAGTTTGAGAATGGATTTTTGAAAATTCGTTGTTTTTCTCCTCCATTATGTTATTTACAAAACAATAACAATATCTGCTACACAAATGTGATCTATTTTGAATAAATTGAAATCTATTTAGTAATGCAACGTGAAGAACAACCTGTTTCCATCATTTGGAAAAGAAAACAAAAAAAAAAAGGTATTTAATATAACTTACCATGATGATCAGGGTTCTCAACTCCATCAGGGGTGATGGGCAAACAGAAAGATCCAAACACTAAGCAGGAGAAGATCAAACCAAAAATTGCAATACTCGTCATGTTGTTTCGGAAAATGCAGAATCTCCACAGACACAATAAACACAAATTGTCTTTGAAGAATATTGCGTTGTTTATATAGCACTCCAATGGGGATTATTCAATTTCGTAGAACATAAACTCTTGCTCATAACTAACTGATAAATATTTCATTTTGTGTTCCAATATTGGAAATTATTCATCACATTATTATATTGAGTCGCAAATATGTTATCTCGTTGTTAAAGTTCATTTATCGTTTCACAAACAAGAAATCAGTCAACCCAATTGCCATAAATCTTTCAATCCTCATACTTATTCATATATAGAAGGAAGGCCCTTCCTGCACTTCATACCGAGACAGACCGTTCAACATCTATATTGGTTGATGATGAAAAACGCAAAAGTCGTAAAAGCTCATTTCAACAGAACGCTGGATGATGAACAGTTAGTTAGATGAACAGTTAGTAATGGGCAGCAGTTTTCAATATTCATTTCAATAATTTCCTGATTTGAACATACTGTAGATAATTAAACTACACAACGACGAGGCATGCTTTCCACTGAATTTCTAATTATTTGTTGTGGTAACTGCTCGTAAATCGTCAAAAGAGCATCTGCAACTTGGTTCAGATTTTGGAAGGGTTGATGATCCTTCAACCGTCTTTCCAGTTCTTCCCAGAGCTGCTCAATAGGATTTAAATCCGGACTATTAGCTGGCCATCTCATGATATTAATATTGTGCTCCTGTAGGAAATTTCTCACGACCCTGGTTAAGTGTGGCCTGGCATTATCTTGTTGTAAAATGAACCCAGCGCCCATATTTTGGGCAAATTGGACGACATGAGGTTCCAATATCTCCTCTATGCAACGGACAGCCGTTAAAGTTATGCAATATCTAATAACTGATTCGACCAGGGAGTTGTATAATATTGAAAGATTTTTTGTTTCCATATCAGAATTAGTCTCCGTAGAAATGAAAATTGACGTGTTCTTTGAAATTTTCTATTTCACGTCCGTTTCTGACATACAGGGGGTCAAGTTTTTGTTGGAACGCCCTGTATAAAAGTAAATGTGGTCATTTCCGAGGTCAAAATTAATGACAACTGTTCTTCACATCTGTACTGGTCAAAAGTAAATCCCCATTTCATAGGAATTATCAGTCAAACTAATATATATAACGACCGAAAAGTTAATAGCTCACTAAACATCTCATTTGAACTTTCGACGAGCGGACGTGCTTTACAAACACAATGAAGGGTGCAGTTATCATTTGTTTTTTCTTAGTGACTATTATTGCTACTACATTTTGTAATCCAGTTCCGACAGAGGATGTTGAATATAGCCAACCGCAAGAAGGTGAGATTTTTTTACTTTGTATTAAGTTGTTTCAAAAGTTCTGTCCGTTTTTACGAGTCTACTTTGAACTGTAATATCTCACTTAATAATCAATAAATTTGATCGAGATCAGCGGAAGATAACTGAGATTCAATGAAGTTAACAACTCTGACATATTTTATCTCTCAAAGAGACTTGGAACTGATTTGAATTCTGGACAGAAAAAAGGCAAGATATAATTAGTTTCTCAAATCTGGATTCGAGTTTTTGGACCCGAGACTTTAAGATGAGTTATCTAAGGAATTTCTAGCTCCCTTGGGCGTATTTTTCTTTCCGAAAAGTCTATTGAATGTAGCCAGTAACTTACCAGGGTGAACTAGAATTGTTTTTTTGACACCTGTGAAAAGTTCATCATCACTTTTTATTTATTTCAGATTGAGAAAGGTGAAAATTCTCTAAGATTCATGAAAACTCTGATTGATTTTGAAATAAACAACAGTATTGGTTCTTCCTAATATTATTCCAACCGATAAATGAGATGAAAATAAAAAAATGCAGAACATTAATTCTGTAAAAATTAATATAATTGTCGTTTTAAGTATTTCATGTAGATGAAGTCTGTCTTGTACACTGAGTAATTTGGACGAATCATTTAAAAGTTATCGCGATAATATTAATTTGACGCAACGCAGTAAGCCATTACGCGTCGCTTCTACTGTAAGACGACGGGGGACGATGCGCGGATTAGAAGGGCTAAGCAATGAAGCGCCGTCGCCAAAAAGCGACCCGAACGCGGGCAGACGCGTGAGGGCAGATGTCGTTGACGGTTGTGATAGTTTTGCGAACATAATCCAATTCTCGAAGCTATTCATTACGTAATGCAGTTGGCATATTTTTTCAGTTACTCTATTTTCAAAGTAAAAACCTAAATTTGTTTTTTTTTTCAGAACATGTGAGGGTGAAAAGATTTACTTGTGACGTGTTGAGCGTAGAAGCTAAAGGAGTCAAACTGAATGATGCTGCTTGTGGGATCCACTGTCTGTTTTTGGGGAAACGAGGGGGATGGTGCGATAATCGAAGAGTTTGCAATTGTAGAAAATGATTCGCCTCAGTTGTTGTTGATATGTTATAATTCAATTGATGATGATACAAATTTTCGTTACGTATATCTATGACCGATAACTTGCTGATTTTTTGTTTGCCAATGGCATTGTACGACTGTAAATGACTGGTAATGCAATACCTAAGACGAATAGTTTCAATTGAATAAATTAACTTTCAAATTGCCACCCGACTGAAAAGGAAGTCAAATAACTATCATAACCAGAAAACAGGTTTGACTTTCAAAGCTAACTATCACGGTTATCAGATATAGTTTATCAATAAAATGTTCCTAGATTTTCAAGGTGTTTTTTCCTCAATAATACAAAGGAAACCTCAATTTCAATAATTGAAACTGAAATTTAAAATTTCAAAAGTTAACGAGAAGTACCAAATTTATTGGAACTATTCGTTCCCCACCCTCTGGCTCATACAAGCTAATAAGCCTGATGTAGTCCTTCTCGACCACCAGAGCAAGACGATTTTCGTCGTGGAGTTTTCAGCTACTGGCGAGACGAATATCGTCCGAAAAGAGGAGGAAAAACGGATAAAATATCGAGATTTTCTCTTCGAACTCCGCAGACTCTATCCAAACCACTCTCTGTCAAGATGGTTGTTCTGATGATTGGAGTCCTTGGTGGAATGGTGCCCTCTATACTCTCGAAACTTAAAATCATACCGTTCTGCCGCACTAAGGCAGAAAGCCTAGCCGGACAGATGCAAAAGGCTGTCATTCTGTGATAGATAGATAGTTTATTTGACTACGTATATGTATGAAACATTTGTAGCAAGTCAGGTGATGAATCAAACATTTAAAATTGACTACTACCTAAATAAAATGAAAACATTAACACTACAGTATGATGAAAACACAAGGCACCCAAAAGGGATACAATAACTTTTAAAATACATTATTACAAGCAGCACTGTATAACAAAATACAATAACATTTTTGAAAGATATTATTACACGCACTTTCGTTTAAGATAAATCCATTCCATTACCATGGAAGCAGCCATATATTCATCTGTACTATAAATGCCTTGATCAATGAGAAATTTTTTATGCCCTTTTTAAAACGTGTCTGTGATAAGTTCTTGACAAGATATTGTAAAGGTAACATCTAAGGAATTCTTGGAAGATTTCTGTAGATTGAATTTAGCAGGTCGTATAACATTAGCACCACGTGTTTCATAGTTATGAAAGTGGGAGTTAGTTAAAAGATGCCCCTTATTTCAGGTACCTCCAGCAGTGACTGAAAAATGAAAATCGATGGAAGAGTCATGATTCCCAATTTTTTGAACAACGGACGACATGTGTCCCGATATTCCGCATTAGAAATTATCCTTCCAAAAGTAGGTTATTGGAAGAAAATATCAGTCTCTGGGTTTTTTCCATATTAAATTTGAGAAGATTCGCATTGAACCATTTTTCAGCTTGGATTTCAGCAAGTTCAGAGATTTTCAATCAATTGTTGCAATTTTTGTCTGAGCAGACAATAATTGTGTCATCGGCATAGAAAACACATGTATGGTGTGTGGGATGACGGAAGGACTGGGCGTCAGCTCCCATGCGGTTTTTGATAGTTCAAAACGTATTGGAAAGGTAAAAAAATTCGAAATGTTGGTATCTCACGATTTGAGTCATCGACAGAAATTGTCATGTTTGGAAGTATGTTCTTCTCCTCTCCAATCGACCATCATATTTTCAAGCACTGCCATGACTTTTTCACCGGTAGAGCCTTCTCTCGAGCGCACAATTTTTATGCTGACGGAATTTATTCATAAAAACGAACAAAAATTTTAGAACAATCTGAAACTTCCAGTCAATTTACCATCAAGATGCAATGAACTTTTGAACCAAGCGGACGCTGTTATTTTTATTAGCAATCAGAATCTTTCCTTGACCTTTCATAAATATATTTATAGCTCGAAAGGAGTTGCCGGATAACTTGTAACATTTACTACGTTTCCCTTAATAATATTGACCTGGTTGTCAAAAATTAACTGGCCCAGTTCGCGATATGAAAAAAATTAGTTCCGTTTCTATAACAGATGGATGTATTGAATTCGATATGAAATCAATTGTCGCAACACAATTTTCCCTGAACTATTGGGCTATATTGTATTTCGAGAAAGTGTTTACACAATCGGTAAGTATAAGTTATTCAAAATATTATCTGGTACTCATTAGATAATGGAGAATTGTTAAACAAACATTGTGAATGACTGATGAATAACTTTTCAATTGCAAAATAAGATATTGTTCATACAGTGTGATCTATTATGAGGGGCACATCAACCTCATTCTCGATGGAGCTTACTGAATTTTGATGATAATCAATGACTTATTCAAGTTACAGTTTTCATTGAATTGTTTTCAACAATAGTGTTCAGACTCCAACACAAAACTCATTTTGCTTTATTGTTACTCCGGGTGTTATCTATTTGTACACATTGTTGCCGATTATTCAAATAGCTATTTATTGAATCCCATGATTTTCCCCTAAATCCTATATTTTCGAGGGACTTCATCAAATTTGGATGGCTCACAGTATCGAAGGCTTTTGCCAAATCAATGAAGACACAGATGGCCGGTTCCTTAGTGTACCGCTGCGTACATCTTTTTGATTAAATCGGCCATTGCATCTTGTGATGATTTACCCTCCATAAAACCAAATTGACTATCAGAAATTAAATTGTACTTTTGTAAAATACTGAAAATTTATAATTTTTTCTATTATTTTACTAATATTCGTTTCACTACAGCAATTTTCAATATTTCTGGAAATACACCAGCTTCCAAGACCAAATTTACGATTTTTTTAATGTGATAAATTAGGAGGTCAATGCATTTTTCGATGGTCTGTATTGAATAAACAAACAGATTTTGTGTTTTGGATGAAACAGTGCCAATGGAAGTTTCAAGCACCTTTACTGTCCCTTCGCACTGTAGCACGCCAAATAGCAATGTCTCACGAAACAGTAGGGAAAGAACCAACGTTGAATTAATTCCGACCGTGTACAGTGAACATTCTTCAACGGCTCTTTCAAATTTTGTGACACAATGATGGATTTCATAAACGATTTACGGATGAATGTACGTTTTCACTCAAGTGGCAAGTTAACAAACAAAATTGTCGCTACTGGAGTGACAAAAACCCGCGACTTTTCAGGGAAAGTCGTGAAAAGTATCGAGAAGAAGTGAACGTTTGGGCTGGTATTCTTGGGAATACTTTTATTGGACCTGAGGCTGAGCCTCTGGCGAAAAGCATTTACTGCAAGTATCCAGTTGTTCAGTTGTTAAAATATCAATAAAAGTCATTACGAGAAAAGTCAAAACCTATTTTTAAAACGATTGAATAATAACAATCCATCCCATTTACAACAGTTTTTATGGCAGATGGATTGGTCCAAGAAGGGCAATAGAATGGCCAACAGGATCTCCCGATTTGGAAGATTCGAAGGTAAGATTGACAGCTGCGTGCAGAGAACTTCAGGCAGAAGTTGGTTTGAATGTTAAGGGGGATTTTGACAAGGTTTAAGAAAAACGAATAACATTTCCAACATTTAGTNTAAGATTGACAGCTGCGTGCAGAGAACTTCGGGCAGAAGTTGGTTTGAATGTTAAGGGGGATTTTGACAAGGTTTAAGAAAAACGAATAACATTTCCAACATTTAGTGAGATTGTCATTCCTAAAAATGTCTCCTTGAAAATGAATTTGACGTGTTTTTGATTATTTTTACATCACGAAATATAGAAGAAAGTACGTTTTCAAATAGACACCCTCTACTGTAGATGAAAGGATTGTTGTTTCCACAGTAACATCTTGCGTATTTTTCATTTCATAGTGTCAACTTTTTCTTGTTATGAATTATTCGAATACGAAAACCAAAACTCGTCGACTGGTCTATAACAAATTATGCGATGTCCCAATATGAGATGAGGGAATACCTGAATTTCCTTCGTTTTCTCTGAAATGCCCGATCATTCAAGTATATAACTCTCGTGAGAGTAGTTGATTCGAAAGTGTATGCAAATTGTGTCTCGTAAATCATGAAATTCGCTACTGTATGTTGTTTAATAATATGCTGCTTCTTAGTGAAAGTTATCTGCAAACCAGAGAGTGAAAAAGACGAAGCAGAAGATATCCAGATAGCGGAGGGTTAGTATTGATCAAATATCCGGTATTATTTCCACATTCGAAAATAATTAATTATTCCGGGCTTCCATCGTATACATAAGAAAAAAAATCATTCATCTTGTCAGTGTCTCCCATAATCATTCGATAATTTCGAATCCATTCAGGAAAAGTGAGATGAGAGGCATTATTATTTTAGCAGGACATTGTTCTTTCAGCAGGACAANTGTGAGTTACATTCGTTTAATAATCACCCGTCAACTTTTTTTTCCCTAAAGCGATCTAAAAAAAAAATTATTGCCATTTTTAAAAATATCCCTAGACTTTTCCGATGTATAGTATAGGTATATAGTAAATAGTATCGGTATAGAACAAGGTCCATCACATTATTCTTTTATCAGGACAAGGTCCTATCACCGTTCTGAATGCTGAGCCATCCATTTTCAGAATAGAAATTCTTCAACTGCATTGATTGACTCAAATAACCTGGACTCCACTTTAGATAGTCTCTGTGTGTGTGAACAACACAATATTTTCACAATATCCTCATTTGCTTCAAGAAGTGGATGGACCACTCCGTAATTATCGACGGCAATGATGGAGGCAAATGATGGCTGTGAAAAGGAATTCGATGACACATTGTTTCTTTCGATAGTTTGAGTATTTATGAGTTATGTAAGGTATGAGGGGTAGCGATAGGAAAATAGAAATGAATATTCTTTCATGAATGTTTGTTGCATTAGTCGGTTGCTGTTTCAAATATTCAAATATAAGGGTGTTACAGTGGAAGTTTAGTGTATTATTTCCAATTCGAACTTCACATATGCAAGTGTCTATGATGTCAGAAAGATGTTTGGTACTATAAATCATAATCTGCTTCAGCATGTAAAGATATTACGTCTCATATTCATCAGAAACACAATTCACATCCATTGAAGTTCCTCAGGGAACTATCTTTGGACCACTCCTATCAATCATTCACATGGATTATTCATGATAGCAAATTCGAATGATAAAAAACATATGTCTACCCAGCTCGATGTATGCAACATCTCTGTTTTGAACTGGCAAAATGGCCTCGTAATAAGCCCGGCTAGAATTCAGCTCATGGTATTTCCCACGTGAAAACTCAATCTTGACACACACAGTCGCCATGAACAACTAGGCCATATAGCTGAGTAACTGTCATCCTCAATGGCGGACATCGATGTTTCGGAATAAAACACGCCTTATTGCCTCTTGTATAAAGATGGAGAAGTAGAAATCCAAAATCTTTTTTCCAAATGATTAATCCCTATTGAAAATATACCCCTTCCAACTATCGAACTACTTGTTTTTTTCTCACAAGGTATATTTCTATTTTCAGGTCAATCACAAACAAAGACTTTGGCGTGCGAAACTTTATTTGGCGACGCGACATGCCACACCCTGTGTCGAATTCAAGGAAAAAGAAAGGGGCACTGCAATCATAGTTTCCAAATACTTGTGTATATATTATGGGTTGACAGTTATGGTTTTTGTTTCGAAAGTTTTACTAGTATTACATTAGGAGTCACGAATGAAATATATATAATAATATTTTCAATGAAATCGTGGTCTATCCAATTGTATTATGTACATTGTGAGCGAATTGGATTTGTAATTTTCAGTGAAACTTATCACATATAATGGAAACTTATTGTTATCCATTCGTATTAGAAATTATACGCAGTTTTAGTGCATAATCAGAATAAACACAGACACAGTTAACATAACACAGACTGTAATTTTGAGTTGTTCACATTCCCATGTAGCTTATGAATACCAACAGCCATACATATTTGTATACCTGGAACTCAAAATAGTACACTGTTGATCGGGAAGACAAAACTCTTCTGAATTTTTTTTTGCATCATCATTTTCGACAAAAGAAAAAGTTCAACTGAAGATGATACTATGTAATAGAGACTGTGTTTTGAAATTGTGTTAATTTTACCACCTGAATCTTTTTGAAGCAAAATTTATCCGTATCTATCACCTATATTGGATTCTTAGAAATTAATCAAATGCTCCAACACCAAATATCATAGACATAATCACAATAGTTGACATAAGAAAGTTCTAATGCATCCAATAGATTTTCACACTGATATTGGGATAACCGCATAGATAGACATTACATGTATAACAGTTCCCGTTTTATGATTATAAAATTTTTTCATCAGTACTTCTTTCAAAATCGATCGAAAACGATGATCATGACATCACTAACATTTGATATAAACGTGGCAATAATTGGATTCTCTTCTTTTTCCTGAATTCCTGTTGTTCTGACTGTTGAAACTTCGATTTTCCTCCGAAATGGAAAAGTTTAGGTGTTGCTTCTTGATGCATGCAACATTTTTTATAGAACTAACGAGTAATATTGATTTAATAGTTTTTTTTTGCAGCAACTGTAAAGATCTATTGGCATTTACCTTCATTTTTATGTTTTATGTACCAAACCAAACAAGACAACAGGAAAATTCAGATATATTGATAACAAGATCATGTTTTTTGAAACCATTCGATTGAAATCTTCATCAATTTCACATTGAGGTTTCAATGTTAGAAATGGCAGGGTTTTCATTCAAAATAAAAATCTGCAGGTCCATTTGGTTTTATCTATACGATAACTATGAAAGATGGGCGTTGTTCCATTATCAATCACATTATCCTAGTAGATTTGTGATTCCGTCAACAACACCCACACCTTTCCTACCCAAAATATACCCCGTAATTATTTCGCTACTGTAAGAAGAACATACTCACCCTCATTGGCCAAAAAAGCGATGGCTTGGTCCATTCCGCCTCCTTGGGTGCCAATGTAGCGTTCACATCCTGCGCACAAATTCGCCATCCTCTCCTTTGACATCGGATTCTGCAAATGATGGAGGAGATTATGAATAACTTTTATTGTTTTATGTGAAACGGCTCAAAATTCGACGATCTACATTCCCGGTTCAAGTTAGTTGATTTCTTTCGCATTTTTTGGGGATTCGAAACCGAGTTTGACAGGAAACAATTATATACAGGGTGTATCAACGATAAGTTGATAAGTTGACAAACGATAGAAATCAATGATTGAAATAGATTGATAGAATTAATCGCCAACTTTCATTATCAAATTTGCACTATATACAGGGCTATTCAAATTCGTTTCTGTACATGGGGATCTCGTAAAAGATAAGAGATAGAATATCGGTTAAATTTTGGCAAAGTTGTGTATTTTAGAGACCTATTCAATGATGTAAAGGAATCGAAAATAGCTCTTTTGGTTCTGGAGATTACAGGAAAAACCAAATAATCCCAAATTATTTTTTTGCCTATATCTTCTTCATTCGCAGACATATTGAAAAACTGTCCACATTTTGCTATTGGCACTTGATGCCAATAGCAATAGTGATAGTTCTTTCATCTTTGAACTAGGCAAAGACACTTTACGGATAATGTCTCACAAGTAGGAACAATAAAAAACTGCAAAAGATTCAGAACTCCTACCTCAGTCTTATTCATGGAGTGCATAAGAGACACACAAGTTGTAAGGAACTTAATGGTTCAATGTGGTTAACCGGAAGTTGGTACCTTCTGAGTGTATTTATCATGAGACTATATGACAGGATTACATTTCAAGCTGATGTACACAATTCGAATGTATGACATAAAGGATTATTAGCATAGAAACAGAAGAAGAAACTATAGGAGAACTTTATTGGGTCAGAAATCACATATGTAACACCGGAGTCCTAAATCGAAAGACCCCAGAAGATCTCCAGTTAAGATATGTCTATAACACGCTTCTCAAGCAGTTCTTTTAAATGTTTACTGCCGATTCTGGAATGAAATACCCCAGATGGTCTCCAGGAAAGATATGTCTATGATACGGTGTTGTGGTATCACTTCAAAAATTAGGTGTATTCACGTTGTTGTTTGTCTCCCAAAATTTACGAGCAGATGATATTTTACGACAACGGTTTTATCATTTTCCTCATTAACATCCAATTATATCTTCTCTTGACTGAACACCACTTAAAAAACAATTACTGGGACAGCCACAAGATGACACCTTTGTCTCCAAGCTCGAACACGAAACAACGAAATGGTTTTATTTTCGACATTATCTCTCACCTGGGATCCTCCTCATACATTCAATCACTGATCCTGGCAGTGTCTATTTACACTTGAAGCGGGTTGGCTTTTAGATGCCGAAAATGGGCGCAACGAAATACAATTAGAAATTCCGAGCCACAAAAGATAAAGGACGCCATAATGGAGCAGGATTGAAATTAATGGAATATTAATGTAATTCTGTTGGTTATGTATAAAGTTGCCTGAATGGATACAGTGAAATTTCTAGGTTCACATTATTTATATCATTATCATGTGACGTTTCTGTTCAACCAGTCGGTGGTGGTTGGAGGCGTCCAGCTAACTATATGAATAGTGGCATATAGGTTGACTTGTGGTTCTTGTCCAAAGCTTTATATTGGTCAAACAGGAAGAATCTTTTCTCAAAGCATAAAAGAACATTGAGGTGGTTTCTTGAATATGTAGACCATTTCCACATTTATGAACCATCTTTCGACAAAGGGGCATCATTTAAGACCAAAACACAAGCACTATAAGATGTTCTTGAGCCGCTCTTAGAGAGGATCCTGTGCGAAAGTAATAATTCACATTGTTCAACTACGACTATGAATTATTGCTATTAGAAAAGTGAGAGTTCAAACTCAATCTTTTGGAATGAATTAATTTCGAGATTTTTAAATTGAAATTTGTGATAATGAAATTAATAAACGAGTTCTTTATTTTGAAGTGAAATTGACAGATGAAAGTTTCAAAATGGCGACTGGTCGTCATCTGGAGAAAAATAAATGGAGAGGGGGATTTTGTGACCCATCTTTTTGAAGCTCCTGACAAATGCTTCACAACCCTAGAATAAAAGTAATGTCAATATCTTCAACTACTACTAAATGATGGAACTTTTAATGATTGCCTGCATACATTGACATTTAACTACATAATATGAGATAATAAGCTTGAGATCAGTTCAGAAGAAGCTCGAAATGGTTGCCTTGAACTTTTTGACATATAAACAGCCTTTCGGATATTTCACGCCGAATATTTTCGAACACCGTAACGTCAATATCTCTACAAATATTTATTATTCTCTGTCGTATATTCATTATTGAGGCAGGTTCAGTTTCGTACACCTTTTGATTCAAGTAGCCCTATAAAAAAAGTCCAAAGGTGTCAAATCTGGCGAGCGAGCTGGCCATTCTGTAGGACCTCGACGGCGAATCCAACGAACGGGAAAAATAGTATCCAAATAGTTTCTTAGTTGTCTGGAGTAATGTGGTGGTGCTTCATCAGTGATGAGAGGGTCAACAGTAGTTTCCAGTTTATTCAAATACAGTTCCTCTGTTAAATTTTGATGAGGACAGAGGATAGAGAACAGATAAATAGAGATCCTACAATATGGTTTCCCAATAGTCCTGCCCAAACGTTGATTTTTTCTGGATATTGGGATGTGTTTCCGGGAAACGTGAGGGTTGATGTCACTCCAATAACGGTAATTTTGTCTGTAAACATTTCCGTTTGAGAAAAAGTACATTCATCACTAAAACAAATATTGTGCAGATAGGTAGGATGCCTGGCAATGGTTAGTCTAGTTCATATGTACTTGTTTTGTAACATTTTTCAGCCCTGTCCAATTTTTTTTAAATAAACAATCAAAAAAAGAATAAAAAAAATTTTTTCAAAACCTTAAAGAATATAATTTATGATTAAAAAAAATTTTTATGTTTTATG